TCAAAAATACAGCTGAGGAACTATTCATTCGGAAGGATGCAAATGTGATTTGGAATTGGGACACTATCGTCAAAATGAAACCGCGTCTACTGCAAGTACTAACTTTATGTGATCTTTCGGGGAGGTTATGTTGTACTCTACTGAGATGATTTTCTAGGCCAGAAAAACCATGGGAAATATGCTAAATATCTCTCAAAAATGTTTAACGAAAAATCTGGTAAGACAATAGTTTCTTTCCGAGAAAATTTTCGTCAGTTTCGGATTTAATCGAACATCGATAGGGTGATTTCCTTCGAGACCTAATTTCGAAGACCTTGACCCTCGGAACCTCGAAGAGCGAAAAGGTACACCCGAGTAAGTAGACATCGGGGACTCTTAACAATTGTTTAGGTACGCACCGGTTGTACGGGGCATACATACGATCTAAATCTCCGCCGTTCGCAGGGTAGGTCAGGGTCGGGGTCAGGGTAGGTCGTGACGTCAGCGTCGTTTTCCGGCGATTGAGGCAGGTCAGGAACGCCGACATGTTACGTATACGTGTATATCCTGAACTGAGAAAAAAAATTCATTGAACGAAAATATATATTTTTTTGAATAGTACCCAAGAAATATATATTTTTTTTAATTCTAAGAATAACCATTTGGTTCAAAGAAATTGTCATAATTTCGAAGAAACGTTGCATTCAATTCATCCCAATATTTATTCGAGTCAAATAATTATTCTTTGAATTTACAAAATATTTCCTCAGTTCGATGAATTTCTTTTATCAGTGCTGATAACGCTGGTCCGTTTTGCAGAAATTTCGGTGAAATTTTAATCCCTCCTGAAAATACGAGGCCTACGAGGAAATCTTATAACAGAATCCGCGAATCCCCCTGGAAATTAAGGATTAGGCCACCATTGTTGCGGACAATCTCGTGATAACGACACCCCGAGGATTCCTGAAGAGTGTCGTGAATTGTTGAGTAGCCGGCGAGATTTAATCCCGTAACACCGAATTTTCCGGGAATGAAAAATTTCATTGCCTACGAGGCCGTTTCGGCGTCCCCGTTGTTTAACCCCAACGTGAAATTCTTTGCCAAATTAACCCCTTCCTTTGCATTCCTTATTTTATTCCGACATTTATCCGCATGACCTGTTTTCCGTTAACCAATTCCTCAGTATTTTTATTCCCAGGGCTTGCAAACACTTGTAACACAACAGACCATTTTTGTATCCTACGAAATTAATTTTGCATTGTTATAATTGAAATTAATGCAACATGAAATATCTTTATTTCTTATTTCGACCATTCTTATGACCGTGGTTATTCATTAGTTTTTGAGTACTTACGTTCACGTGATTTTTAAACATTTAATAATTACTGATCACACGTATCTGCGAATTCGATTCCAACTATTCGTCAATTAATTTAATGGATATTAATAAAGTAATAAAATCGACGGTTCGAAGGCGTCGATCGCTTTTTTCATTTTCCCATCTTGTTCAGAACGAGTAAACGCTGCGAAAAGTCTACTGTACTTGGAAATATATTTTCTCAGACGGAAATTGGACTTTACGGGCGATCGCAATGGACCGTCGTACGTGATTCCATTATCGGAATCATCGGATTATTTTTATCCTCGCGTATATCTTTACGTACTCCAATATATAAAATGTCAAAATATTTATAAAACTTTTCTTCAAACTGGGTGCACCGAATCATTTGATATCAGTATCAACTGCAGCACGTGATTATGAAGGCCCTAAGGAAGAACGCGATGCTCGTTAAATTTCATTTTTCATAAAAAAATGTGATTTTGCTTCTAATCTAGGCTAAATAAAAGAAATTTTTTGTTGAAAAATGAAATTTCACAAGCATCGGGTTTTCCTTCAGGGCGTCCATAATCACGTGTTAATGTTTCAAATGATTCGGTGCACCCAGTTTGTCAAAAAGTTTCATAAATATTTTGATGTTTTCATATATAGAATGACTCATATCAACTTAAGGTGGCGTCAAAGAGGTCTCGTTTATGAAACTTTTCTATGAACTGGATGTACCAAATGGTTTCAAACTCCACCGCATGAATATGGAGACTCTAAGGAAGGTCCCCACTCAGGAAATTTCAGTTTTTTAAAAATGTTTCATAAACGAGACCTCTTTGACGCCACTTCACGTCATCTTAAGCTGCCGTTAAAGTCTCTGACTGAAATTTAACGAAAAAAATACTTACTCTCTGTTACAAACAGAAACAGTAATGAAGAAGCAATGTTTTGTTAATAATACATATTTTATGTCCTTGTCGCATAATTATTTTCCTTATATTTAATTATGACATTTCCTTGTAAAAGTCCCTTTATGGAGATACGTCGAGGGTTTCGCTTGTACGGCTACATGTACACGTGTATTATGTACTCGGGTGGACTGGGGACTAAAGCATGTACCTACGCTGTATATGCCTAGTTATCCGGTTGTATACTAGTGCGACATCCCACGGGACACTCAACCTATCAGTCATCGTCTTGCTAACGTGCTCATTCTTGGTAATCACGACCTGTTTCGAGCTAAACTTAGCTAACCACTAGTCGCGCCCTTAACATCCGAGTAATTGTTCGCATGTCGGATCGGTCGGACTGGTTAGGTACCTGATATTACGCGGTTAACTAGCATTTGAGGTACTAAATAGCACCCAGCTCACCATAACGTACCATCCATTCAGATGTGACACTAAAAATTTGTAGAAATGCTTTATATATCATAAACAATTTGAGCTACTAATTAATACCTACCTCGCCATAACATCTATTCAGATGTGACACTAAAAATGCGTACAAATTCTTTATATATCATAAACAATTTGAGCTACTAAATAGCAACTACCTCGCCATAACATCTATTCAGATGTGACACTAAAAATGCGTAGAAATGCTTTATATACCATTAACCATTTGAGCTACTAAATACTGTAACCCTAAACATTTTCCAAAGGCATTACTTACTATTAACAATTTGAGCTACTAAATACTGTAACCTTAAAAATGTGCAGAATGCTTTATTTACCATTAACAATTTGAGCTACTAAATAGCACCCAACTCGCCATAACATATTCATTTAGATGTAGCACTAAAAATGCGTAGAAATGCTTTATATACCATTAACCATTTGAGCTACTAAATACTGTAACCCTAAAAATGTGCACAATACTTTATTTACTATTAATAATTTTAGCTATTAAATAGCACCTAGCTCGCCATAACATCTATTCAGATGTGACACTAAAAATGCGTAGAAATGCTTTATATATCATTAACGATTTGAGCTACTAAATACTGTAACCCTAAAAATGTGCACAATACTTTATTTACCATTAATAATTTTAGCTACTAAATAGCACCCAATTCGCCATAACATATTCATTCAGGTGTAGCACTAAAAATGCGCAGAAATGCTTTATATACCATTAACCATTTGAGCTACTAAATACTGTAACCCTAAAAATGTGCAAAATGCATCACTTACTATTAACAATTTGAGCTACTAAATAGCACCCAATTCGCCATAACATATTCATTCAGGTGTAGCATTAAAAATGCGTAGGAATGCTTTATATATCATTAACAATGGCGTATAGAAAATTTCTTGTGAGGGTAGGTCATGAATTTTTGAAAAGAGACACGGACACCTCTTATTAAACATTAGTGGGTATTGCCGGCTATTCTTGCGCGGTATTTTGGTATTTAGGTTAGAACTACTTAATTGGAGACTTGGGGAAGTTCGCACTCCTTTTCACTGTCGATCGTGAATTTTAAATGCAATAAATATTTAATTAAGTGACGAGGCGCCTCTCTAGTTCCTTATTTGGGTTAGAGTGGTTCGAGCCCTGCCGTTTTACAAGAATCACACATTTTCCTTTCCACCCGAGCTTCTATAAGCAAACCGAGCGACCTCGTGCTAAAATACGCCGACACTTTTCCCAAGGAACTCCGGAAGTCCCGCCTTAAACCGTAAGCACGATGAATTCCCGCGAATCCGCAAAGTCGACTCGGCACTTTCGAGCTTAGATTCAGATTTACTCGCCTAGGGCTGAATTTTCCTCCCTTCCTCCATATGTTCCCTCGTACAAGAAGCATTCGACCCCCTTTTCCTTCCGCATGGTGGAAAGTACGCCGGGAATTTAACTTTCCGGATTTTACAACTCGGAGATATAAATCCGGAAGTTTGTTCTTCCTGTCACGTTTGCGGTCGACTTTTACGTCGTTTTCTTCCTTTTCCGACGGAATTTCCGGCCGATTTTAAAATCACTCCAAATAAAGATGGCGACCATGAAAAAGTGGACCGAAAGTGTCGATTAAAATTTATTCGCCCGGATCTCTTGTTTCTGTTTTTTTTTTTTGTAGAATCCTTTTCTTGCAAACGTTATAAAATATTCGGAGATTTTAAGGTGAAGTGAAACATCCTTCAAATCAGTCGATTCGAATACAACACTTTTTTTTAAGGGCGCTCACCACTCCAGCGATTTTGCAGGGNGGAGTTTTACTTCGATTTCTTTATAATTATTGTACGAAAACGACGTGTGGAATATGCCATTTGGTACAATACACAATATAATTCGACCCAGCTGTCAATATAAAAACGAATGTCGGCGACGTAGGCATTTGGGAGAATCTTCTTTATCGACGTTGATCAAGTTCCTCGACGTGTTTCACTTCACCTTAATTCCCCGAATTTCACAACCCCCGATATTTAGGAAGTTGATTATTTCTCTCGTTATTACGATTATATATTTTTCCACCGCTTCTTTTCAAACGAATTTTAATTACGTTAGGCTAGTTAATAAGCTGACCTGATAAGAGTGGCGGGTTTCGTTAATATCCAGGTCGAGTTAATCCGTTCGGATTAGATACGTCGATAACCCGACCCCTCGAACGGCGGATTTATGCGCGTGTGTACATGACTTTACAGCCCCGATTCGATATTTCCCATGGGGAAAAATGGAAAAAATGAGGAAAAAGGAGTACCTGAAGGGGTGTGGTTGGCTCCTGGTGTTCAGCTCCTGCAAAAGGAGGATAGAGCTGAGCTAGACACATGACGGCCTCGTTGCAGAACTGTAAGCCCATCACCTCTTCGTCTTCTCTGCCGTATCGAAAAGTCAGGGTCACCTGGCCGTACACCTGTAACAAAGATCCCCATTTTCGAGACTGATTTTTCGCTATTGATTTTAATCATGATTTCATTCCATGAGAAATCCCACACTTTTCAATAATCAAAATCACGATTTTTTCGACAATATCTGAATCCAGCAAATAAACCATAATCGTGATTTTAATCGAATTAATCGAATTATTTAAATCACCGCTCGACCCTGATTTTTCATGAAATCCAAGACTCAGGTGCACCTTGTTTTTAATATCTCGAGACTCGAGGGGAGTTTTGCTCCCCTGGTAGGTAAAACTGAGTATAATGATTATTTTCAATTGTTTTTTATTACTCTTTAGATTACGTTATACAGTCCTCTCGTAATGAAATTCGGATGGGCTCTGAAACCATCACAGAGATTTCGATGACGAAGGTACTCGAGTTGCGATTTCATTTTTGTTCCAGTGGGAGTCAATTATTTTCAACTAATTTGTAGTACGAATGACGGATGTATGTACTCGTTGCGAGTGGCAGCGAAATTACGTAAAGGGCTCTAATATCAGGCAGGAATTTCATTTGGAATTAAATATCTCATTTGCTCTAAATTGAAGATAGTATACAAGTACATCCATTTGCAGCGTGGCTCTCGAGACGGTAGAGTTTCTCGCCAAGTACATTTCGAGGGTCACGACACACAATTTGCAAGGAACACATAAAAACGATGTAACGTCCCACCAGGGTTCCCGGTGACCTTTTTGCAACAAGTTCGTGTAAGGAAAGGGAATAGAGGTTGTTTACAATGAGTACTCTCAATTAATTTGGGGGAAACATGGTTTTGCTGAGCCGAAGGGAAACAGGGAGCTCGACATGTCGCGTTCCATCTAGGGGAATTTCTTGGTGACCTGGATATTCAAGGTTCTAGGATGTCATTTGACATATCTTGTTCCTCCACGTGTTATTGGCCAAAAACCTGCAAATGAAGTCCGACTTTTTTTTTCCCCTCGGAACTGAAATTTCATCTCATCTCGTTTCGGCTCCCCGATACGAGGGAAAAATTAATATCTGGGAGATAATAATTCCCTCCTTCGAAAGAGGCTACAGAAAATTAGGGGAATAACTTAATCTGCACTACTTTCGACACCTGCACTGAAAAAGAAATTTCATTCGGCCAGGGAATATTTCTTTAAATCGAAAGAAATATTTTTTAATGCAACGAATAGTTATTCTGTTTTCTTTTTCTTTCTCAGGGTACTCTATCAGAAATATTCATAAAATCTATAAAATGATCGCACTAAAAACTCCATATTTCGGTAGTGAAAAGTCCGTTATTCAAGTCAACCGCGCGAAAATGTAAATTTTCCCTAGAGTTGAATAACAATTTATGGAATTTATTATAGCTTGCATTTTGATATTGTTATCGAGAAAATTATCGCCTCGAAGCAGGATTTCCAACAATGGCGCACTAACAAGGTGGACTTCTGATCAGATGTCGAGACTCTCCTGATAATGGTGTTCTCCAGGGGCTGATAATGTATATATTCGCTTCCAAACTTTTTTATGACAGTATTGTTATAATTCACCTTGTGTCCTTGAATTACTACTATAAGAGAAAAAATGCATTAAACCAAAGAAGTATTTTGTAAATTCAAAGAATAATCATATGATTGAATTAAACTGAAATAAATTGTCATAATTCCGAAGTGTACCTGTTCATTCGTGGCAAATAATTATTCTTTGAATTAACAAAATATTTCTTCGGTTCAATAATGTTTTTTTATTCGAGTGTCTTTTACCGTCAAGAGTCGAGGACGTTCTTAGATAGGAATCTTTGCATAGGAATTGTTTTTACAATTTAATCCCAAGGAGAGCGTATTTTATTATAATTATTTCTCAAAGGTATTACGCATTCGGTAATCCAGGCTTAAATTCTAATTACGGCCCGCCAAGAGCAATTCGCTCGAATTTCTCGACGATTCGTCGAAACTGAATTGAAAGTTTAAACGAACTCTGTCGGGTCGATCGGCGGTTTCGAGTTATAATTTACTTTTCCGGATTCCTACCTTCTTATCTTGCAAGTACTCCGGATCCACCAGGAGGACTCCTTGAAGCTTGTCGATTTTCCCCTCGCTCACGATAAGATCCCTGCTCGCCAGATACAGGGTGAACTTGTTGTTCGGCGAAGACTTCTTGAACAGCCTGAACCTAGAAAAAGAAAGACAATTGTCGCTAGCAGAGTTACTTATTGCATGTTGACAAAGAAGAAGAATGTACAAAATAATTTGTAACGCTTGCACTCTAATAAAACGAGGCGGCAGATTGTAAAAATTAAGGCGATTTAAAAATCCCATCTGAGGAATCAGTAGTATATGTAACTTTGAAAATGAAATTTTTTAGAACGAAGCTTCTTAGCGGCAGAATGTGAAAATTAATGCGATACGAAAATCCCATCTGAGGGATTAGTAGATTATATAACTTTGAAAATGAACTTTTTTTAAACGAAGCTTCTTAGCGGCAGAATGTAAAAATTAAGGCGATACGAAAATCCCATGTGAGAAATCAGTAGTTTATGTGACTTTGAAAATGAACTTTTTTGAAACGAAGCTTCTTAGCGGCAGAATGTAAAAATTAAGGCGATACGAAAATCCTATCTGAAGGATCAGTAGTTTATAAAACTTTGAAAATGAACTTTTTTGAAACGAAGCTTCATAGCGGCAGAATGTGAAAATTAAGGCGATACGAAAATTCCATCTTAGGGATCAGTAGTTTATCTAACTTTGAAAATGAACTTTTTTGAAACGAAGCTTCTTAGCGCCAAAATGTGAAAATTAAGGCGATACGAAAATCCCATCTGAGGGATCAGTAGTATATGTAACTTTGCCGTCAAATTGGTGTGTCGAATTTTTTGCAATTTTACTACGTGAATGTGGAGGCCCTAAGGAAGGTTTCGACACCCATGATATTTCATTATGAACATTTGTCTATGAATAGTTTTTTACTTTTTCATCAAAAAGTGGAATTTTATGGCTGGCAGGATCCTTTTTAGGGCCCCACGTGGTGGTTTTAACCCTTATCACTCCAACCGGCAGTAACACTGCCAACTTCTAATACTCTTCTAATATTCTTGGAGTGAAAAGGGTTAAACTATTCTGTGCAAGATCGGAGAAAAGTTTTATAACTTGACGGCAATTACACGTCGCCTTAAGATATTGGAAATTATGTATTGAAATGTGTTTTTTTTTTGACAGGCGTTACATTAGTTTCCAGGTTTTGACGTTGGCGTGCAATCGCGGTTTAATTAAACTCTCGGTTTACCGGGAACTGATGAGGTTACTTGAGAGACGTAAGGGGAGTTCTGATTAAATCGGCAGCCGTTTAAGCTCTCGTTTCGAGGAAGACTTCTGAAATTTTACCGAAAGCTCTTATCTCGAGTTTTCGATCGAGCTTGGTTCGCCTCTTGGCGTCGTTTAAGACCTCCATTAAAAATATCTCGATATCTGGGAGCTTTCTGAAAAAAACTAGACTTACTTTGAGAACGGCGGGAAATCCCGCTAAATTTGTGAAATTAGTGACACCCGAGTACAGTGAAAAAAAAATTAAAAAATAAATAAAAAATGCTGAGTTTCGGTTCAGTCGTGTCAAATGTTGCATTTTAAAAATATCTCAATGTCCGAGGAGACATTTAACGTTTTTTGTCGGCACATCGAACACCTGTTGAGATTTCTCATTTAAAATTTTTTCCTGCATTACCAATTATTTTGATTTCGGTCGCTGGCGATCTGTTTTGTTAATCGAATAATTCGTTGATTTTCAATTCTGACGACTCTTTCATATCACCTTAATCGTAGAGAAGTCGAATATTGAAACGCAGTTTATCTATTTCTATTATTTAAGCGGTTTTGCTGTCAGGATTTAATAAATATCGTGCACCTCTTCTGTCCTTTTTTTTTATCGCTCTGCCTGCGCCCGAATTTCACGGTTATTTGTGGAATTTTGTTGTTTCGTCGGGCTTTATTCGAAACATTTCATGAATGAAAAAAAAGCCTGGGGGGTTTAATTGCGACTGGCACGGCAGAAACATTCTGCCGATGTGTCTGGAAAGTTTCCCCGTGAACGCAGATGGTTACAATCGATCGAAACGCTGCGGATATTTCGTTGGAAAAGTAATTATGACTTTCCCGAAACGAATCGAAGCTCGAACGAGTCGATTCGAATGGCTCGAAAGCTCTAGGGATTCGAGCTTACAGCGAGTCGGACACTCGAAACAGCGAATCAAAATCAAAAGCCAACGAATTGTCAAAATCTGAAAATAAATCGCCAGTGGTCAAAATAAAAATAATTGGCCATGAAGGAGAATTTTAACACTATTTCTACCACGATTTTGTATATACCTATTTCGACCAAAAGGTTTTGATGAGCTGGAGGAAAATGATACCGCTAAATAAATTCAACAATTATTATACGAAAACTCAAAACATTAATTGAGAAAAAATTATTCAACTTTGAAAATAATTTCAAGTTAAAATTTTAAAAGGTGTCTTTTGACACCTTTGGTAGAAATAGTGTCAAATGTTATTTATGTTAACGGGGATTTAATTCCCTGCTTTCAATCGCCTTAAAATGCAACATTATGAACAGGTGTTCGATATTCGCAAGAAAAGTTAAAATCTTAAAAAATTCAATTCGATATCAATGGGTCGAAAGTTTCAGGGAATCGCGCTTACAGCGAATCGAAATAAAGAATGAACGAATTGTCAAAATCTGAAAATAAATCGCCAGTGGTCAAGATAGAAATGATTGGCCATGAAGGAGAATTTTAAATGTTATTTATGTTAACCGGGGATTTAATTCCCTCTTTTCAATCGCCTTAAAATGCGAAATTTTGAACAGGTGTTGGATATTTGCAAGAATGGTTAGGTCGAATCAAAGTTCAAAATCAAGGAATTATTCGATTCATAAAACTCATTTTATCCTCAGATTAAGGTTAAGATCGTATTACCCGTGGTTGTTAAACGTCGCATCGGATTGCACCCCAGAGTTCGTCTCGCAAACTTGTCTGAAACATACAAAATTCATCGACTTTTTATTCGGCTCGTATTTACGTTACTCCAGTGCCACGAAAATCGGTGCATTTAAATTATCGCTAAAACTTTCCACCCGAAATTGCAGGAGCACGTCAAGCTTCGTCGAACTGTAGTAAAAATCAGCATAGAGAGTTATTCGACTCTACAGGTGCGATTAAGAAATTCCTGGTTATGAAATATCGACTTGACAAGCCGTTAAGGTGATATGAAAGGGTCATTCTAAACGTATTCAAACGTCGAAATGTTTATAAAACTTTACTCCAAACTGGGTGCACCGAATCATTTGAAACTTCAACACGTGATTATGGAGACCCTAATGAAGGTCTTGAAACTCGGGAAATTTCATTTTTTGAGACTAATTATTTGTTTATCTCGGACAAGAAATGAAAAAAAAATGAAATTTATATTTTATAAATATATATACCCTTTCGTAACACCTTAAATATCTACGTATACGCCGATTAATCGGCGAACGTATGTCTCTTTAAAAAAAAAATAATTGTTTAATAAGTTACCGCAAATACCGCGGAAAATCATGGGGAGCCGGGAAACATAATAATTGAATTTGCGAAGGAAGTTTTAATTAAATCTATTAATTATTAGTGGGGGGTAGTTCAGCTTCCCTGGAAGCGTAGACACAGTAAATCCGAGCTCCGGTAAAAGAGGGATTTGCCAGGGAAAGTCAAGACCGTCAAAGAAACTTCACCTAGACAAGTTTTCCACTTTTAGCGAAAGCCCCGCCAGTGGGTGCAAGATTGCATACAGGGCATTCTCGCTTTAGAACTTTTAATGGCCGCTCGTCGTACGTGGGGCGAAACCTGGACCATCCATATTCATGGATACCCTGAGGTGATGGTGGACATCCTGTATGTCGAAACGAACTTTATCGGATAAGTGCTAGTTCATGGACCCGAAGAGGGATTCATTTTTGCGGGAGACATCCTGGATGTCGAAACGAACTTTATCGGATAAGTGCTAGTTCATGGTCCCGAAGAGGGATTGATTTTTGCGGGAGATTCAAACGCGGAATGAAGGTGCCACGTATTATTGGATTTTTAAGGTGATGTGAAAGTGGCGTGAAGAAGTCTCGTTTATGAAACTTTTCTTCGAATTGAGTGTACCGAATCCTTTCAAATTTGACAATGTGAATATGGAGTCCATAAGGAAGGTCTTGACACCCATAAAATTTCAATTTTTTAAAAATTTCTTTATAGATGTTTTCAAAATTTCTTATAAAAATTGAAATTTCGTGAGTTTCAGGACCTACATTAGTGCCTCCACATTCACGTTGTAATGTCTGAAGCGATTCGATACACCCAGTTCGTAAAAAAGTTTCATGAACCTTTGATTGACCTATTCGATGCCACTTTCACATCCGCTTAAGGGTATTCTCCGAATTGGGAGTACCAATTTCTTTCAAATTTTACCACGTCAGTAAGGAGACTCTAAGGTGGGTCCTGAAACTCGCGAAATTTAATTTTTCGAATAAAAAATGTTTTTTTTTGTTCTTTTCTGACGTAAATGGAAATTTTTGTTCGAAAAATGAAATTTCACGAGCATCGCGTTATTCCTTAGGACCTCCTAATGTCGTGATGAAGTTTCATAGATTCGGTGCACCCAATTTGGAGAAGAGTTTCATAAATATTTTGACTTTTTGGTGTATATATGACACTTTCATATCACCTTAAGCCGTTTTATTCGAATCGACTGACTTGAGGGGCTGAAATGAATCAGCTTAACTACGTTACACTTAATTATATCAAGGCGCAGTTTCGACCCGAATTAAAAAAAATCGTCTTCTTTACTTTGAGAAATCCCATTTCGCATCTTGAAAAGTCGAGTTCAGTTTGAAATCGAGGGCTATGTCTGGTCGCCAGTGGGAATAACCGGCGGGATCCTAACCTCAAAATTAATGATCTGCCAGGCCGCTCAGACGCGGTCGTCCTCGCGTTAAACCATAATGGCGACAACTCACGGGTTACCGAATAACTTTGCTCATATTTTACTGCTCCCCTCGTGTATTCCCAGGGAAGACTAAAGTTTCGACTTGACGGAGCCGAGGAACTTCGGGAAAGACAGGAACTTCATTTTTGGAGGAAGATTATGCTAGGTCACGTTTCCGTTCTGATTCTCTACGACCTTAAT